TAACATGATTATTGATATTTTATCACAAAGTATACCATAAAAAGAACCTTATTTAACTTCTGTCTAATGCTATAATGAATGGTGTATAGGATAGACATATAAAAATAGTAACTTTTTTTAAAAAAAGGTTATATATTGTGAACAGTATATGATAATGAAGCTGGAAAAATAATTAGAAAAGATACTCTTAAGCTACTGGTAAAATATTTAAAATAAAACAGAGTAATTGTATTGTTATAATATAGAAAAAGTATATTAAAAAAATATTTTAAACTTAAATTAATATTCGCATGTCCACGGCTCTTAATAACTGATTTACACTGACGAGGCATTGACAATCAATTTAGGACATTTTGCATGATAAATAGAATTCTATTCTTCCGAGTAAACGTTGTATAGTTCCCTTAAATTACCACACAGTCGATTTGCTACCTTTTTTTTTACTTCACACCAAAGATATTCTATTGGGTTTAAATCAGGGTTGTTAGCTGGTCAGTCTACACTGAATTTTCAGGTCCGGCGGTCCGATTTTTTCCGGTCCGGAATGACATGAAAAACTCGGATGAGTAGCTTGTGCACTTGTCCGTTTTTTTCCTGATCGGAGCGGCGCAGTGTAGGGCAGCTCTCTTTGAAGCTACACGTCACTTACGCTAGGTACGATGAGATTTTTGGAACGTTGGTAATTCCGTTCGAAGACGTAGAAAGGTACCTAAATAATGATCTGATCGTTTTATATAAACCATAATAAATTATGGCAAGACGAAAGCATTTTTTTTACTACTATCGGATGACTACTATCAGATGTAAAAACTTATACCCTTACTAATTTAGGAACAGCATTATTCACATACAATAGCTAAAAATATCTGACATTAGAATAAAATTACTGATAATGGTCTAGTACTTGATGTAATATTTTTAAATGTGCTATTTTTTTTCGAAGTTTTGTAAAAACGACTTTCAGCGATTACAGAGATAGACCAATCGGTGGCGCCATTTCGTAAACAAATCGAAATTAGTGCCGTGTTAGCGGAGAATTATTATGCTAAATGAACTTTACGAGATCAGTTGACTGTATTATATATAGGCATAATTTTATACGCGTGGAGTAGTTTCTTTGAGCAGAAATATTATTCCCTTAGAATACTTATTTTTTTTAAATTTATTAATGACACAAACATACATTTAAAATTTTATTAAATGCGAAAAAAACATTGAGTGTCACTTAATTACTTTTGTTAATCTTCTGTTTATTCTTTATTATTACTTCTGTTGTCAAATATTTATCAATTGTTTAAAAAAAATTTGATAATGACAAATTTCCAGGCAAACTTTCATCCCCTATTTTTCGCGATAAAATGTAGCCTATGTCCTTTCTTAAAGTTAAGTCTATTTACTATATTAATTTCCATTTAGATGGGTTCAGTTGTCTAAACGTAACAACACTTATTTATCTTACCTTAAGCTATCGATACTTTTAATACGATTCTAAAATCTAGCTAAGTATCGATACTAGAACCATATGCTGATCAAATTAGAACTATACCGAGTTTGCCAAAGCATATGCAGTGATATATACCAACTATATTAAATCATCATATAAAATATAGCATTTTATAATCAACAATAAATATCGATTATAAGTTTATTGGAAATTAACAATATTGCCGAAATAAATATCGATTCAAATCGATTATTTTTTCCCAAGCCTATTCCTTATGAATTTTCCGGATCTCGGACACAGCAGTGCACAAGCGTAAACACGTTTTTCATTGCTGCCATCACGGACCTGAAAAAACCGGTCTGGAATAGAGAAAAGTAAAATTCCGGGGTGACAGTGCACAAGCGCGCATTACCTACATATGGCCTGACATATCGGACCTGAAAAAATCGGACCGCCGGACATGAAAATTCAGTGTAGTGTTTGAAAGAATCGATGTTTTTTTTACAATAATTAACAAAGAAATAAATACAGTAAAATCTTTCGAAATTTATTAAGAGACGGAACAAACTATTACATATTCTAATATTTTTTATCGACTGATTGAAGGAAAACTAATTTTGATTAAGAAGAACTTTTTATTCCCTTTCTATGTTGATAAAGAGTAGAGCCAGCTTTCGGTTTTATTTTTATCAAAATCATCGATGTTTTTGGTACCAGAAAATGGGGCTAATTGGTATAAATAACAATTTCAGTAGTTAGTAAAAGTATAAATAACAACGTCCTTTACTCTAAATTTATATATTTTTAATGTATTAGTTATCAAATAACTCCTGAAGTGGGGTTAATCAAGATTAAATTGATATTAATATTCTCAAATAATGCATTGGTCTTACGTGAAGCCGTGAGTTAACATTGATCATGATTGATTTTATTAACATCGATGTTACGTTATTTTTCGTATAGCAACATCGATTTTTTTGCTTTCAACGACGTTTATTTTTAAAAAAGGATGTTCATCGATCATCCCTCTTTTGAAATATGAAATAAAAAGGAGTTTAGTTAGAATCTCTTTCACGAAAGAAGTGCCACGGCATAAGTCTTATTCCTTTGTAATAAAAGCGAAAACATTTTTTTGATCTTATAAAACATTTGATGCGAAGGACTTCTCTCGTGACACAAAATTTTGTTAGTTAATTATAAGTCATTACTCACTCATGCGAAGCTACCCGACACTGAAAAAAAATAATCTTCTTGAACCTTTACACCTTCAATGAAAAACAAAAGCAGCAAACAGTTAGTAAGGCAACTTATTTTTATTTTTAACAATAGTTCCCGAAATCAAACTAGAAGTCGCTACGATACTGTCTTGATTTCTCTGACAACTTTTTTCATGTATTAAAGTAAATTAATTTTCAAAACTCAATAAACGACTCATATTCTATTTGTACTTTTTCATATTTTTATTGATATCTAAGTTTCTAACTAAAAGGAACGGAAATGACTATATTTGGTCCATTCCTTTCCTGCAAAAATCAACTTACAAGTTACAAATAGAGTCGCCATCAAGTGGAAGTACTTTTTAGTGCTTTCTTTTTTTAATAATATCATATTAAGTTTATTTCTTAGATTCTGCAAAGAAAATATGTTTAGTTTTAGTAACTTAAAGAAAATGCAATATTTTTAGGAATTTTAATCAACGACGATAACGCCCTGTAATTTATTATCGTCGCAACCAATAACAGGTTCTGTTTACCGGCATGTGACGTCACACGTAAATAGGAAGCTGTCATGTCAAAACAGAGTTATTGAGATATGCAAAATTGTATTTACACATAGAATTTATAGCTCATTTTGAAAAACAAAACCAGAGTAGATAAACTACTATATAATACTACTACTTATTTACTTCATAAATAGATAGTAGATAAATAGGTTATGTTGCCTTGACATATTTATCGGCGTGTGACGTCACATATACACGTGGACAGCGCCATTACATAGACTAGCGTTTTTCGCAATTTGGGCGCAACTGGCTATGGATTTTTATAAGGAATAGAAATAAGTAACAGAATACCAAAACGGCGCAACGTTGGCTTGCCCACAGAGCTCTAATATAAGGATCTCACTCAATGAAATCTTATCAAAACTGTTATCCTTTGACATTTTTGAAAAAAAGTAAAGCTGCTAGAGAAAAACAGTGTTATTTTCATAACAAACAAACTTAATAAACTAAAAACATTCTGCAACTGGAACACTAATGGTCCAGCTGATAAAGCAACTAACTAGAGGGTATTTATTGTTATTAATTACAACATCTGGTCTGATGTCAGTCCTTAACTCTTTTAAAAAGCAATAGCTTGTGAATTTATTAAAATAATTCTGTAACACAATGAGAAAGTATTTAAAAAAAAACGAAAGCACTAATAAGCACTTCCACTAGATGGGGACTCTAGCAAAAGTTGATTTTTAATGAAAACGGAAGGACCAAAGACAGTAATTTCCGTTCCTTTTAACCAACATATTAAAAAACTGAAATTTGAAAAGTTCGAAGAAGTACAAATAGAATATGAGTTGTTTATTAAGTTTTGAAAATAAATTTACTTTTAAATATGAAAGAAAACCGGAAAGGTTGTTATGGAAAAATCAAGAACGTACCATAGCGACATCTAGTTTGATTTCAGGAGCTAATTTTTTTTATTACTTCCTCATTGATTTTAAAGAAATATCCACGCTTGCGAAAAAAAGCTCACACGGAAAATAATCGTGTTTAATCTGCAGCAAACTACAGATTTCCGCGGATTTATTTCCACGCCAAAATTTTGGCCGTCCTATAAAGTACTTTTATGAAATAAATAAAAATTTTATAGATCATAAGGCAGTAAATGAATGTATATAAGGGTCATGATATGTTTAAAGTGCCGTAGCCGAATTATCCACCAAAATTTAAATTGTTCTATTGTTGTATATTTTTCATGTACGTTCTTAATGTTGTTGTACATTTTAAGATCTCAGACGGTAGCTACATAAAACTGTCGGAAATTCCGCGGAATTTTAGTTGCAATGTGGACTAGGTTCATTAAGAAAAAAACTCTTGAAAAAGCCATGAAAAAGCATGATTCGAACAGTCCTTATGCTGTAAAATACATCTCGAAAGTGTTTAATCTATGATAGTATAGCGAAACTTGTTTTTAGTCTATACGTTCGACAAAGGTCATCAAATTTTTATTTTGTTTTCTTAACTAAGTATAACATATATACGTATCTTAATGTTGTTGTATATTTTTTACATCTTATTGTATATTATATTTTCAAAGACTTCCCTTTTCAGAAGTTTTAGTCGCGTTCAGAATTTGATAAAATACAACATCGATGAAATCAAATACGTTTTTGTAACTTTCATGTTACTGTTTACGATATAAGTAAAACATAGGTTACATATCGAATTCAAAATCGATAAAATAATATCGATTATTTATATCTTAATATCGATGTTAATAAGTCGATTATCATAGACATCTCTAACATTAAGTTCATCTGTGTTCTTGCTGTTTCCGGCCTTTTCGGTTTTCTCAGCTCCTGTTGTAATCATGGCGGTGAACAACATTTCTAAAAAGCGAAAAGTAGGTTATTTTATAGCGTATTTAACCATAAAATATAATATCTAATGTTTTGTACCATACTAAATAAATGTGTTGGTGGTTCGAGTAGATCAATTTTTACATTAAAGATTGTGATGTCCACGGATGTGATAGTGGCAGACTTGTTTTTATTTAGAATGAACTCTTAATTAGATGATACGCTTTTATTCAGTGTATTTAATATTTGCATTAAAATAATTGGTACTTAGTAGATCGTGGATTAGTGACATAGAATTCATAGAAATGTTTCCACAGTAACATAACCTATATGTTAACTTTCAGTTCGTCGGTGACGGAGTTTTCAAAGCCGAACTCAATGAATTCCTCACCAGAGAGCTTGCTGAAGATGGCTACTCTGGAGTTGAAGTACGTGTTACGCCAACACGTTCAGAAATCATTATTATGGCGACAAGAACACAGAGCGTTTTGGGAGAGAAAGGCCGTAGAATCCGGGAACTGACTTCCGTCGTACAGAAGAGATTTAATATCCCTGAACATTCGGTTGAACTGTATGCAGAGAAGGTAGCCACTCGTGGTTTGTGCGCCATCGCTCAGGCTGAATCTTTGAGATACAAACTCATTGGAGGTTAGTTTTACTGTATGGTATTCTACATGTGCATTGTGCTTTGTCACAATGATTTCTTACTATATAACGTGCACAATGACTTCTATATAACGTGCACATTAAAGCTTAACTATGCGCAGATAGCATCGGGACAGTAGTTTTGCTATGTAAAAACTAACTAAACATCAAAAACATATGCCTCTCTTGAGACATTATTGTCATGAAAGTGATGCATGTAATGCGAATGTGAACATTTACATATACAATTGCTAGCGAAATTATACTAATGAAAGTAGTTTCATGCAACTGTAATTCCATGATTAAAATTAATGTATGACATTTACATGTTACTACTAGCAAAATTAACACAATGACACAATTTTCATGTGACTACTTTCATAGTGTAAATCTGGTCACGCAGTATCATATTGGGTTACTACAAAAAGCCAAATTTATATAAATATTGAAAGATTTTATGATAAAACTATTAATTTGCTTACAAAAGTACCAACTGTCCTAGTATCAATTAATCAAAGGAATCTAAAAATGATGTTCAGTTCCATTCTTTTCAGTTTGTTGTCAGACATATATATTGTAACATTAAGGACTAGAATACACATGGTACATAGTAGTAGCACATGAGCATGCTAGTTTTAAGCAGTTGCTACTTAGTAGCAAACAATTAGCATCTGTATGCAAAAAGAGCATGCTAGTTAATCACAAGCTGGCCTATATTTCCATAGCACATGGTGTGAGGTGTGGATGAGAGGAAGTAGCATGAAAGTAAAGGTGAACATATTAACTATTTTTTTTGCGTTAAGTAGTTCATGGTGGATTTTTTAAAGTTTGTTTTATCTCTAAATTAGTTTGCCAAGCTGATCCTGAGATCTGAGTACTATAGGTCTACATTTGTTTTCTATACTCAATGATGATTTTCTTCCGAACAACCAGTCAATTTTCTTCACTTTTATGTTTACTTGATCACACTTTGGTTTTATGTTAGTCTTCCAATTCAGCTTGCAATTTTATATTTCTATATTGTAATTAAGAATGTCTGTGGAAGCATATATTTTTCATAAGCACACTCTGAGAGCATATAGTAGTAAACAAGCATACTTTTAAGTAGTATGTGTATTCTTTTTCTTTTATGTACTGTACATAAATAACAAAGCTAACTTATTTATGGTAAATATGTTTTGAACACAAAAATGTATGATATATCAAAATTAGTGTGACTCTAAATTAATAGTCTAAGTGGCGTGTTTACAGTAACTTTTCTTTGTCAATGGCGAATTAACACATACTTTTAGGATTGCGAATGAATTTAGATTTCTAAAAACATGGCGAGTTTACTATATGAACAGTTTAAAATGACCACATATTATTTTGATAATTGTTTTTTATAGATAAGGCATCATTTCTAATTTTAATGCAGTCTAGAAATACTAAAGTGATAGACCTAAGAGAAATGTGGGCTCTTTTTACTTTTTGTGATTATGTCATTGTACTACTGTATCCCTTATTTAAAAGAAATTACTAATTTATGTCTATTAATAACATATACTTAAACAATTTCAGGACTGGCTGTCCGTCGTGCATGCTATGGTGTACTCAGATTTATTATGGAATCTGGTGCCCGTGGATGTGAGGTTGTAGTTTCCGGCAAGCTTCGCGGCCAGCGTGCCAAATCTATGAAGTTTGTTGATGGTCTCATGATCCATTCTGGTGACCCCTGCAACGATTATGTTAACACTGCTACAAGGCATGTGTTGCTACGACAAGGAGTACTCGGTATTAAGGTAAGTTTACCAGCATTCATAACTTTCAAAGAATTTCATGCAAAAGAAGCTACAACATCATATGGTTGTGATATTGATGAAGTCATGGGAAAACAGTTACATATTTTTATATATAATTAGGATTATTTATATACAAAAATATCCACATATCAGGGATTGTCAGCTCTTCAATAGCTTGTGATCTAATTGCTTGTGGTATAGAAACTTGAAAAGATTCTTGGAGGGTTTGTTATATGCAGGCTCTTGTTTTTTCTTTCAGTACAAATAAATGTTAAAGATGCAAAATTATTGATGAAGTGGCAAATGTGTCAGAGTTAATACTATGTGATACAAATGTTACTCCCAGGCCACACCTTGAAACTAGCAAACTAACCTCTGCTATGGAAATCGTAATATATTGTTTTCTAGTACTAATTTTTTTTCTTCCACTTGTGCATTACCTTTGTACTTAGTACCTTTGCCTTTCTTTTTTTAAACAGGTCAAGATCATGCTTCCATGGGACCAACAAGGCAAGAACGGTCCCAAAAAGCTACAGCCTGACTACATCATGGTGACGGAACCCAAGGACGAGCCCGCTCCCCTCGAGCCTACCAACGAGGTGCGCTCCCTCGCGCCCGTGCCGATGCCCGCGCCCGTAGCCGCCGTCGCCTAGGATATAAGGACAACACCAATAAAAAAACTACAAAAATGATTTGAGTTTCCTTATTGAGATTCCTTACTTTTACATTTCTACTGTCAAATTTTGAGATCAATGGCACAGTTTTGGCTTCCTCTTAAAATATATTCCAGAATATCAAAATTCTTTCTAGATCTACGTTTAATGAGTTATAAGCCTGGGACATAGTCGCGATAAATAGCTGTGTTAGGGTGGCAATGCCATCCTCTTCGATTTTAAAATTAATTTCTGATTCAATCTAGTCCCTTATTTGTCAGTCCGTTAAGAAATCGTTACAAATAAAACAGTTACGTTGTTGCGGAGATAAACAAGTCCTTATGGTGTTGCTGGGCTGACGCCAGTCTGGCAGCGGCACAAGATTTCCAGTGGGTAGGGATGACGATTTGGTAAAAAAAAAAGAAATTCTATTTAGTCCGTCAGTCAGATAATAGAATAATACTAGATAGTACCTTTTTTCACTTCAAATTGACAATAAAAGCTTAGATAACAGGCGTTAAAGTTGGCGGGCTCGCTACGTCACATTTTTGTGGAAAATTTACCAAAGCATGACGTCTTGTAACATCTTAACTCGATGTATCGTAATTTGTTAATTTATTTAATTTCTTAACTAATACGTAAAAAGAATACTAATGAAAATATATGTGTATATATATAATATTCATATATTATAAATAATATAACAATAAATATATAAAATATATCTGCATAGCTTGTTTTGAAAGTATACTAAGGTCTAAGGGGAGAGAATTCCACAAGAGAATAGATTTTACAAAGAATGATTAATGAATAACATCGCAAGACAGAAAAGCAAACAATTGGAAGAGTGATGAAATGAAAAGAGATCACTGTCAGAGTACGCATAGCTCTGCGCTGCCGAATAGGCATCCATTTGAGATCGATATTCGGACACGTGATCATGTTTCCGTAGATTGTAAACGAATCGAATGCAGTTATTCAGAAGGCGGTCAAGTTTGTTGAGTTGATCTGTATTCCAGTCGAGATAGCACACATCACTATAGTCAATTATAGGAAATACTAAAGTCTGCTTAAGCGTTGTTTTGTTAGTTGGCAAAAAATTCTTCATTCGATAGAGGGCTCTTAACACTCCAGTAGCTTTTTACAAACGCTGGCTATTTGGGCCCGCCTGTTAAAATTAGAGGCAAGTCCGAGCTCTTCCACACTCGCTAAATGGAATCGAAGTACCATATATACCATATGTAAGGAATAAACTAATGCACGTAGACTTCAACTAGCGATAGCAGGGCTGCCTTGCGATTCTGTAAAAATCCCGATCCGATTTCGAATTCACTCATATGTCCGATTTGACGTCATTGAGTGTAGAAATTCTATTGCTTCCATTTTTTGTTCAAAAATACCATCACAAAATTTATTGAATATACGTTTCTCGGATATTCTATTCCCATGTCATTTCTAAACTCACTTTACTTATGCCACGAAACGTTATTTATTACGGATTCAAAATTTATTGATAGGAAAAATTCGGATACCTGATTGAGTTCGAATTCGGGTTTGGATTTTTACATAATCGCAGGGTTATTCTTAAAAACGTCTATTCCTTATGGAAATAATCTCATACACAAATAATAACGATCGACTTTGACAGACTCACAGAAGGTCAACTTCTCATTCGTTGTATTATTCAACGTAAATCATCAGGAAAATAGAAACAAGTATTATTTTCAACATTTTATTTATAAAAACATGACTACATTCAAACAACCCAAACCAAGTGCATTATTTTATTCCAGTGTTATACAGTGTCACCACATTCCATTGAATCATCTTCATTCACAAATACAAAAATACACAATTCGTTATTAAACCAAACCGGATCTAAATCTATACAAAAGGGAATGCAAGACAGAAAAATATCTGGTCATAATTTTCAATCAGTACCGACGGTTACCTGTATAGATGTACAATACGTAAAAAAAATGTTACTTACTCTCATTTTATCTTATAGTGAAATACTTAAAAATGTCTTATGAAATCTAACATAAACAATCTTAACATAAATTGGACCAAAACTCTTCCTTAAACTTAATACCGTAGTTTGTCCCATACAATATTAAATTAGATGAAATGCAAGATATAATATCGGGTGTTATAGAAAAAAAAAATACATTATTGTGCACATTGGTGGTATAAACAAGTACATTTTGTTGATTTTTTTACCCGAGAAAATAAAGATTTGTTATTTAGACATCAAAGGTGCAAAATTATTATAATCTTCAAAATGCACTACTAGTGCTCGCTTACGCAAAACAAAACAATAGATTGTTTGTCTAATACCTCAATATATATATAAAATAAAATATAAAGTCTTTATATAATTGTAATTTTCTCGGGCAATAATAAAATCTAATTGATAATATTATTCCAAAAAGTATATATCGCTAATTCTCTAGCCGGAGGTTGTGACGAAAACATAATTTGTTCAATATAATTATTAATACTATAAAAGATCTTAGTAATAGTCTAAATAAATATAATCCATTAAAACGACTATTATAAATATGTACCTTACTTACTCCAGACAGCGGCCTCGACCAAAAACATTACCTACAAGCGTCAATGACTATAGAAAATTGGAAATGTTTATAAATGTTCATCTTCTGACAGCTCTGGCAGAATTTTGTAGGTATATTTACTTGTACAGAAGATTTTACAATACTTATTATTGTTTTAAAAGGAGCCAACATTCAATCATTCAATACTTACAATATACCAGTATATTTAATGTTTGTGAAAATGGGTTTCTGATATTGAATCATGTTTAGTTTGACATATTATTTGAATAAGTCTATATCCATTATTAATAAATACTAACGACATCAATTTCTTTTCATTTTTTAATTAATATAGTTAATTCAATAAACCAGTTATACAACTTTAACAAACGAGTTTTGACTTCTATTTGACTTCTATTTTCAATAAAGCATAGCATGTAGGTTAACATTTTGGTCAGAGTTAGATTTATATTATGTATTTGTTTCCACGGCATTGGCCGTCTAGCAGATTGAGACATGGGTATCGTATTTAGCTCGACATTGATGCAGCGATGGTTGTTTCACCATATAGGTTTTAATTTGAACGTTATCTGAAAAGGATACAATATGTAAATAAGTTTTAATATAATAATTCACCAGTACCAAATTAATAAGATGATTATATGAGATAAATACCAGTATAGCATTGTGAATTCAACATTGTTGAAATATAATAATTTTTAACATTTTTGTATATTATTAAATTACCAATTATTTTTGCGTTTATAGATCATGGTACAATAATTTGTTGAAAGCTCTTTATTTGTAATACCATTGAAAAATTAATTTTACAGGAAAGGAAAGGATAATGACCCGCAAAAAATCACTACTACTTAATGAACATGTTCCATGTTTTTTTTTTCACTTTGGCCTAACTTAAATTGGCAATAAAAAAACTCACTACTGCTGAACAAGTTCCATGGCATAACCTATTGTAACTTATATTATTGACTCACTACTATTACACTACATGTGCATAAAGTTTATTCACTTTGAGAGAGTGGACGATAAAAAGAATTAATAACAACGCTGAGAGATTATAAAAAACAAAAAGTAATTTCTAATTGTGGCCCACCAATTTTTTATGTTAAAGATAGATAATAATAAAAAATAACGAAATATGTGAAATTAATATTTATTTATTAATAACACAAGTCATTGTGGGCTGAAGAGACTAATTTTAGGAGCTTCAAAAATCACACAAAGACTGTCGAATAATGTTCACTGCATCATTTATAGCACTTTAAAGCGCAATATTCTATGTTTATTATGATTTAAAATAGGTATGTACTCAATATGATTTAAAATAACAATATTTTAGCAAACCCGTCGAAAGGTTGCAGTTAGCATTCAACTCTTTCGTATGTCATTTCTCAATATGCTTTCAAAGATATTTATGTATAACACTTGTCATAAATTAACGAAATCATTTGATCAATAACTTTCATAAAACGTAGCATGTTAAATTGTTGAAAGAAATTGCAATGGATTTAAAGAATAGACAATGATGTCTCTGACACTGCTTCTGACGCACAAATAATCTTCACAAATAGAATAAACCCTCAAGTGTAATGTCAATTCGTACGTGTTTTATGTATGATACCCACTGTTACTGAACAGGTTCCATGGACGGTGCCATGCGGCACACGAGTTATACGCCAGAGAGTAGGGCGCCTTGATCGCCGTCGACAGCGAAGATCTTTCAGCGTTACGTTCTACTAACATGCGGAACTCACGGAACGTGTTCCGCGTGTAAGAGTTACGATGGGATGTGTACCGCCACGTCATGAAGTATGTATAATACTCACTGTTGCTGAACATGTTCCATGGGCGGTGCCATGCGGCACACGAGCTGTACACCGGAGAGCAGCGCCGATTTGACTGCCGCCGGCAACGAGGGACGTTCAGCGTTACGTTCCACTAACACGCGCAGCTCGCGGAACGTGTTCCGCGTGTAAGGGTTACGGCGGGATGCGTACCGCCACGTTATGAAGTAGTAGTACACGAATGGCGTCAACAAACTACAGTAACCACTGCGAAGACAATTGAATAGTGATTAGTGCATTGTTATATAGTCTGCGTAGCAATTACGAATAATTGACAACTACATTTATAAGAAACTTATAAATTAATCCATTATCTCTACCACGTAACTATATTTACTTGACATTGAATCGACTAAAAATGCATTTCAAATTCAGTACTGAATTAAATATCGAGTGCATATGACTCAACCCGATGTTTTGAACGTACACACTGTCCAACAATACCTACATTATTTAACGTTAAGTGCAATATGAGAGACAGCGATGCAAGCATATAGACCCACAGCGGGTAGGGTCGATGTAGTAACAGAACAAAACCATATTAAGCCGTTGATCATCTATATTTGCAGTAATTAACACCCACTAATTCACGCTGGGCCCCGCTTCACCGAGCTTTGGCACTAGCTGTGGGTTGTACCCAATGTCCTTTTAGAGCAGCATGCGTATCATGAGAACGTTTTGTCTACATCTAAATGTCACTTTTCTCGGGTGGTCCAATACGATATCTCACTCTCGATCGGAGAAAAGTGACATTTGGTGTAGACTGATCTAGCATTTCTCGAGTTTGTCACAGTATGCGTGCAGCGGTGAGAAATAATAATATTTTTTTTATATATAATGTATGTATAGCGTAACTTACAAGAAGGCCATTATCACTATGAGCGGGAACAGTACTATTTCAGCGAGGGCCGCCGCGCGCAGAATGTTCCGCGACTGGAACTCCACCAGTGAGATGAGCAAGCGAGCCACCCACATAGAGTTTTGACCCAATGTCTGTATGAAAAATAAATTAATCTCTATAAACATTATCGACTGCTTTCCCTCGAGTTCGGCTGCGTAAATTATTGTCTATGTCAGCATTTCCATGCTCCTGCTGTATAGAATAGTGATCCGCGGCATAGCATAACCAGATAAGTACGGTGACTCGAATCACGAGAGAGATATAATAGCCGAAACATGTAGAGCTGTAGCTTATACTCTGCCCCAGGGTTCCATTGTAGAAGGGTCACAGCAGAGCTTCGCTCAACAGAGCTCCGCGTTGTTTGAGGGTTAAAAAAAACATTCGTAGAAATGATTCATAACTACATTTAATTGCTTTAGTTATCAAAAGGTTCCGCTATAAAAATATCATGAATCGGGGTTCGAGACCAAAAACAAATTGGGAACTTCTAGCCTTTATCGTCCGCATATGCTGTAGCTACCCGTATGTGAAAGAATTTTTTTAAATCGGTCCAGTAGTTTCGGAGCCTATTCACAAACAAAGAAACAATCACATTATTTATGATATTTATTACGAGTAGTATAGCATGGTGAATGCAAAAACGCTCGGTTTGCGGAATGGAATGGCCGGTCATAGGATGGATGACCAAAAATGTATTATCCCGAACTCCTCCGTGCTTCAGAATGTACGTTAAGCCGTTGGTCCAGGCTGCGTCTGCAATCGTTAATAGCCACCAATCCACACTGCTCGCGTGTTGGTTCATGGTCCATTATCTCTATTCGATTCGATTCCATCCATAGGGATGGCCGCGTCCGTGAAATTAAAATTTTCATACGCACGCTATAACAGCACACACTAATAAAAATCAGAACAAAATAAATATTTTCGGGTGCTCCCAATACAACAAACGTGATTTTTTTTGTCGTTTCATTTCGAACACGGGGGTGCAATCTACAACCGTAATGTAGTAAGACTTAACTGGTTCATTGTACTGGCATACATTCGACTTTCACTCAATATTACGAACAGCCACGGCGGCACTACATAACACTTTAGTTTTGTTTGGACGTGGATATGGCGACTTTTACTTTTTCTAAAGAAAAAACTGTATGTCGTAAATTTTTAAAGCTTCCTAAGTACAAGGAAATTAGATAGTCTGTAGTCTGGGTGGCGATAACGGTGACAAAAAAAAATATGGCAAGTGACGTTGAGATGGGTGACCAACTTATTATCTGAAGTGCCTTCGTGCTACGGAAGTTCAGCTGCTGTTCCCGGTTGCAGAATGTTAACACCCACTAATCTTCTTTGGGCGCGTGTGAATGGACCGATATTTATATGGTGATATTAAAAAAAAAAACGATCAAGCTTGAGTCGATCTCACGCCCGAAGAGTTCCGTAATGACAATGAGCAAAAACTCATGTTTGCGGAATGAGAACCCCTCGGTTTCTGAATTGAATACTTAAAGTGAAGCACGTCTCTAATTGTACTTCAACGTTACTCGAACAGGTTTTCCTTTCTGATTTTGGTTCGACATAGACTAGGACTTCTTGCCTTGTGAAAAATAAAAAACTTAAATTATCGAGAATATTCAGTTGAGATTTAGAACTTTTCTCAATTCAGAAACCGGTCATTAGTAATAGGGTTCCATTTTTTACAATTTGGAGTACGGTACCCTAAAACAAGCATAAAAATCATCTAAATAAGATTCCGATTTGAATGACCGAAAAGACAAACTTAACTTTGAAATTTTACGAAATTAATCTTTGTCGTTAAGTCTCTGGTAGCTCAATAGCTAGATTTGAATCGCATCTCGGGACATATGGGACTGATGAGTTTTTGGAGAATTTTTTTATTTATTTATTTCTATAATTATTTAATCGAAGGAACATTTATTTCCAATTTATTATGAACTTAATCCTTAAAATAAATGCAAAATTGATTAATTCGAACAAATTTTCATCTCAATCGTAATGTAAAAAAATGTTTATATAAATAATTATTTCGGCTGTTTGAGCGAATGACTTGATCATTGTTGAGATTTGGTTTCTAACACTTTGTATCTCACATATAATTAAATCAATTTGAAGCCAACGATCCAAGTTTTACCGCGCAATCTGCCATCTTCTGTAATTTTTTATCTCATTGCCAATTAGACAGACTTTTTTTTTATGGGATAGGGGGCAGACGAGCAGACAGATCACCTGATGGTAAGTGATTACCGCCCATGGACACTCGCAGCACCAGAGGGGCTACAAGCGCGCTGCCGGCCTTTGAGAGACGAATATGATCGTTGAGGGGTAGAGGGAAGGGAATAGGGAGGGGTTGGGCCTCCGGTACCCTCACTCACACGACGAAACACAACGCAAGCGTTGCTTCACGTCAGTTTTCTGTGAGGACGTGGTATCACTCTGGTCCAGCTGGCCCATTCATGCCGAAGCGTGGCTCTCCCACGTATTGGATTGCCCACTTCAAATTTGCCTGTTTATAGAAAGCTTTGAATCCAGCTACATATACATATATACTGTACTGGTTACCTACAACGACTGACGTCACCGATGGTGTTACGTACTAATGCCTTATTTTATTCAAGTTACCGGTTATGATCACCTTGACTCGCTCGGCTCGTTAATAATTTAACTGTCGCTCGTTAAGTATTCATGCTGTTTATGTGGCTTTTGGTACAAGAATTTTGCAGAGAAATAAAGTAGGTAATCAGTTATTGATTTAATATTATATCGCATTTATAGAACATAGAGTGACATTTAAAACAATAAAGTTGAAATGAGGTGTCCAATAAATATTAGACAGCATCAGCAATATATTGCTCAAATTCCAAGATAAGTTAGCTACACAAGTTTAGCAATCGTATTAGGGAGTATCTGAAACAACATCCAGACCAGAGGCAATAGAGAAAAGTCCATTTTGTACATTATTAAACCAAACGGGAACTGCGCTTTGTAATTTTTTTTGTCGACCTAATTACGGATGACGGCATGAAGATACTAGCTCTAGATATACATTATTGGGATAGGTGGCCGGAGTGTTAAGACCATATTTTTTCACTATTCATATCATAAGACTAAGGACTTGTGTCGCACTTGAACACAAAAGTTGTCGAAAAACATCAGAAAATTGATTGACAAACAGTAGAAAAACACAAACATATGGCATAATGTCTTCTCCAAAATTATTAAATGGATTCACAAAATTTAAATAAATTATCTTTTTGTGAAACATCGTCGAGATGGTTATTTCTTGATATTTGAAAATGGCTTTGGAACTCTATTGCGCAGTGATCGCTTTGCGATTGTAAATGTTGAGCGTCTTGCGTAAAGGCAGGCCATTGGATGAGTGACTAAAATTCTTTTATCTCGGAAGACACGTTAAACAGTTAGCTCTAGACTCTGGGTCCATACTGTAAAAAACCGATGTCGACGCTAAATCGAGTTTTCCATAGTTCTCCATGACTCACCCCATTACTCCAACAAAACCTCGTCGTGAGAGGTGTGCAAAATGCGTCATTTATGTGTGTCAGATTAATTCTTTCTCATATACAATGTGCCAGTGCAGTCTACTCCCAATTCTTAACTTACGTAACATGTAAATGTTGGATTTGGTAGTTGCACAGTTCCAGCAGATGCTTCTAGATACCCCTTAAAACTTTTAATGTAACCGATTTCAGAATGTGTATAAATTTGGTTGTAATTAATTAAAAAAATTAAAATACCCTTACTGAATATAGAATAGACCACATGATAGCCAACACTAATCGCGTATCATAAATAAAAGCTGGTAATAAATTTCTTAAGTTATTTAATACTCACGTCAAGGATGGTCAATGAATAAGATGCGGCATGAAGAAGAGCGAATAAAAATATCGGCGTCAGAATCACTGCATTATGTATGAGTTAAGGAATTTCATGAAGAGCTTATAAGCTGTTTTTTGTATACAAAAAACAACTATTTCTACAAATAATAAGTATTTTATAACGGCTGTCTAGAGCACATGATAATTTAAATCCGTTACTAAAGTAAAACAACGCTGTACGCGTATAGTAGGCATATAACAGCACGTCAGGTTTTAAAAACTTACTGCAATGAGTTCAACCATTGACGGTAGAGAAATTTTACATACAATAACCAGACGTGCTACTTTATATACAATGAAAAGCATATCAGAACTCTTAATTGTTTCCTGAATTCGTTAAGATTTTAGTTAGAAACTGCAGATCTGCCGCATAACTCGTTCAAGAAACTTTTCACAGTAAGATTTCAAATTTAACTTTTCACAGTAAGATTTCAAGAAACTTTTACACAGTAAGATTTCAAATTTAATACTATTTAGCTATTTATGATATTACGTGCTGACGTTGAGTGCATTTGATTCAATGAGATGGCGTATTGTTGTAAACTCTATAGCAATTAACATGACACCTGAGGCCTGGTCTATTTGCTATCGAAAAAGATTCGGAAAAGTTTTTATATAATTTTGTTAAAATATTTCCGTGAAGATTGTCTGTGCATCAGAGGCAGTATCAGGTCCTACTTTCGTTGCATCATAAATTATAAAAAAATGTGTTTCTTTAGAGTATGAGCATTTCCAAAATAAACGAAATTTCAGTTTTGGAGAAATAGAACAGGCCTTTAAGGTGTCGTGTTAATTCTAACGAGTAGTACGTACCATCCCACTTTGCCCATTGGAAGCAATTGCATCTCGTTTTATTTATTATTCAAAACAATAAAAAGTTAACTATATTTGATGGGTCTAATTACCAGCAGAATGAATTTTTTGATCACTACACGCTGTTTTCGTTTTTATCCATTTACAGCTAATGTATTTACATCCTCTTTCAAATTTGACAACTTTAGTGACCTCTGCTTACAAGTTCACCTTGAATATATATTTATACTAAGTTACAACAGTGAATTGTTTATGAGTATACAGAACACAGTAAGATTTCAATTTTAATACTATTTAGCTATTAGAAATATTATAAAACAGATTTCTTATAAATTTTCGTGGTAAGATATCATATTATTTATCACTAAAAATAAATAAATAAATATTAAACAACATCATATACATATACTTGTACAGAGAAATATGAAATGATAAAAAAGGCTATATTCAACCGAGAATCGAATACTTTGAAATCGACGTGCAAGTCACTTAACTACGTTGGTTATCATATGTATGATAACGCATAATGGACCGATCGATACGTCAAAGAACAGTTAATAGGTCCCATACATAACCTAAGCCTAGCCTAAGGCTTTAAAGTTGGAAAAGGATACACAAATTTGGTGCGACATTCATCAGTATCAGTGAGTAGAATAGATAATGCGCGCTGTCTTCCAGGAAGAACCGAACCATGAACTCCCTCGAGAGGGAGATCTCGTGCGCCGGTATGCGCTGATGTAACCGCAGAGCTGAAGTCGCAGCATTTCCAAGTAACGCCTTGTAGTATGCAGACACTGGGCTGGGAGAGAACACAAGCTTTTTTTATTTTAAGGGAAAATACTTCAAGCATACAGGTTATGATGGACTTCTCACTGTGGATCCATCTAGTGGGTATTCGTTCACAAACATCTTAAGCATTAGTTAGCTATAAGGCGTAAATACTGAAAACTTTAGTCTTAATTATAAAGATAGTTGTATGTCCATTTTATTTTCCAAAGTGTTCAAATCTCTGAATACAGACATGATAAGATAAAGGTTAAAATATATTAATGACTATAGCTGTGCCCGAAAGTTTGTCCGCATGGAAAGTAGCCTAAGTTAAGCCTTATTACATTGTATATTTGCTACTGGAAATCCCGTCAAAATGGGTCCTGCCGTTTCTGAGATTAGCCAGAACAAACAGACAAAAAGTAATATATATTTGGTATATGTATCATGTTTACATACATATACATTTAGTCAAAGCGGTTCTTATAATATTACAAACAGACCCTCCTATTTGATATATTTGTAAATAGATTTGGCAAAGAATCTTTTCTTCAACATGTTACAAAATTAAAATAAAACATTGTTGTTTTAAATATTGAAAATAGCATATTGGTTAACATAAAATTAGTTACATTGTTTAAAAAGAATACAACTAAATACAGTCTGTACTGTTACATGAATTATGTCTGTAAAACTGCTAACAACATTCGCCAGGGTATTTATAAAATTCCCATGTTTTAGACATGCCATACATTCAAAGTTAACTCGCCATCCCTAAATAAAGTATGTGTAAATTCGCCATTGACAAATGAAAGTAATAGTAAACTCGCCATGACTCAAAATAAATGTGACCTCCAAATTAATTATATATAGTATTAGTATCCCATAATAAGTTTACACATGCTATTTTGATGATGAATTAACTTGGATGATAATATTACTTAAGTGAATATCTACGTATATAAGTGAATTATTACGACCCTCATTTATACAAATGAAATCTAGGTTACACATTACACATATATACAGGTTAAAAAAAAAAACAAACAAAAAGTTAGTTATCATCCCTATTATACAAGCTAATTTTTATGTTTAAAGTTATTTAAATACTGGTAATTAATGATTGAGTTTTACCACATCCGCTAAATCCTGTACTTAACAATGTTACTAGCTACAAAATTAAATTATTACTATGCTTATATTGTGTAATAATTGTTCTTTTATTTTCAAAGTCAAGTTAAAGAATTTGTGTACATTAAACTATGTACACATGGGGCTGCTTGTCAGACTACCACAATATATCAAATTTCCAAAATTGATTTTAACTCTACCCTCAATGTAATAAAGTATCAAGTAAAATGAAGAATTTGACAGTTTTTATAACCTGAAGCTATTAACCTTAAGCTATTAACTGTAACTATGGCATATAATATTTAGTCTGTGATTGCAGTTATGTACAGTCAGAATTCTATCTAAAACTACTATGCCTTTGAAGGTGTCATCTACTGTCATTAGCACTTACCAATTTCACACCAAAAAGAGAGAAAGTGATCCATCTCCCTTGTGTTTTTCATAAGAAAGACTATATGATCATTTAGAACTAACAAGTTTAGTTTTAATCTAGTGTAGTTTTAAATAATTGAGAACTTAACATACACTTTTATGGCATACTACTTATTATGCAGTTAATTAAAATGTAATTGTTATGTTATGACAATGTTATAATTAAAGTCACACGCACATGTTTATGTGTATATTTATATACAATAATATATATAAATTTATACAACAAGCACACCAATTGAGTAACCAATTGTTGTAACAGTTTAAGGGTGGACACTTTTGTAATAATACATGTAAGCAATCTATTTTATTGGCCTTACTTATGATATTAAGTCTATGTATAAACTTTTTGTAATGCTGTTGGTTTCAAATAAATAAACAATAATATATATAAGTATCACAAAAATAGACTGATTTTGATTGTTTGTCAATAACATATTAATGGTTAATTATTTACTGTAATAAGTATATTGTAATGTAAGTAAATTATAATTCATACTCACTTATTGAATAAAGGAAAAACATATCCTATTGTGCAAAGTACTGTGAGCAGTCGTATTCCCCAGAGGGCCACATCTATTTTATTTGCGATCACGTGAGCTTTTAATGCTGGTATGCCTTTAGGTGGGCCAGTGTCACCAGCTTGACGGTTTTGGTCTGCCATTATCTATGGAATTAATAAAATTCTGTGATACTTAACCCATACATGCCTCAGAATTCAAAACAAACAAGAACTCGGAACTATTTTGATACTTATGAATTAAAGAATATTTGTAATTCCCATCTTGTTGTTCATTATAATAATAAATGAAGGTAGGGTGTACTTTTCTAGTGAAATTTAGAAATTAAAGACTTCAATAAAAAATATATTTATTATATTTGATCAATTTTGCATACACAATCCTATACTGAAAAATTCACTTTTTTTCTGGCACTTTAATATGGATTTTTTTTTTCTAAACAAAGGCTTAATATAAAGAAACAAATAAAAAATAGTTGTGGGCATATATGTGTTAAAGCAGAAAAATCATTTATGTTGGGCCACTGAGACTAATAATTAAGAGATAAAGAATTAAAAATTTCAGAAAAAAAAATTTTTTTTGATTTTTTACAGTGAACACATTTGATTAGATGTATGATCAGAAATTTTCTTAACTTTCTTCTTCAGGGCCTCTTATCATACACTATCTAATTGAGTATTAGAAGCTAAAAATGTACAAGTAATGGTATGGTAGGCAAGGAATGGAAGCCAAAAATGAAAAAGTAATATTGTAGACAGCTTAAATGCAAGACAATATTCATTCAAGAGAGTATGCATATCAAATAATGGCATATTTTTCAGCAAATATTTGATATTTACATACTTTGCATTAAATAATAAATATGTCTCTCTTTTTCACAATTTTCATATATTTATGACAAGATCTCAACCTAATGTATATTTCAAGTAAAATGCAAGAAGTTCTTTATTTCATTAACCAAAAGATATAAGTACTTAGTTATCATCTGATAATAGAATTGATAAGAGCACACATGGCAAGTTCCAGGTAGACTAACTTTTCATATGGATACAATTTCAAAATGATAGTATCTACAATCGATAGTTTTTAAGAACTAGAAAGTGTAAAACACGTAAAAGTAGATTATTGGGTCAAATTGACACCTACTATCTGCATTCGGGTTTTACACAATCAAGTGTTTTAAAAGTTAATGTGTGAATATTAAATTATCCATAGCATGAACATCAAGGACTTCTCGACAAGGAAAACTTGTTTTAATGATCAATTATAAAGTTGAGTTGACCCTTAGTGATATTGAATAAATTTATTGCAAGAATTATAGAAAATCAACTTTATAAAACTGTAAAACAGTGGACTTAACGTATTACTTACGGTATTTGTAAATGAATTATCTTACTTCAGATGAACTATGAATTAATTAAATTCGATAAAAACTCACAACGCAACACTCAAGCAATCATGCATGATTTGCCAAAAAATGTCAGCCAAGCCAGTCACCAAAGAGTACGACAGAGTAGGGATGTAAAAGATCGATATATAATAGCAAACTTTTATTTTTTAAATAATCGATTGTTTTATTAATTTTTAAATTACTCACTAGTGAAAAATCTGCAACCCCATCCCCGACATCCGGTTCCCGTTTAGTCTTTTGGCCTGGAGCCCGGAACGAGAACTGTAAAATATCGAACTAATACTATTTCCATATTATCACATTAACACCATATCGCTCACTGAATAGTACAATGGCACAACTCAAACCATTATTTTGAGACAACGCCACAACATTGTGCATTGTGGTGGTAAATCATATATTCACTAGATGGAGTCAACGAACTGTTTCACCAACATTTTTTCGTTGGTGAAACTACATTTTTTACACGAAATTTCGAAAATTTTGGTGAAAAAAGCTTATAACCTTAAAGTTTTATTTTATAAAAATGTCTTCGATTAAAAGGACATAAATGATAAATAAAACCATAACCACCACCAGCAAGATGGTAATAAGACTACATCATTCAATGGAAAATTTATTTGTATATCCGCCAATGAAATAAGAAGCTCTTAAAAGAATTATTTCAACGTCACTGTCCATATGAAACAAAGGAGAAAGCAACGCAACATGTGCGTGTCAACAGCTGCGCGCCACATGTCAACCTTCCGCAGTGCACTCACCCGCACGCTCACTCGACGCCTGGCAAAAAGGATATCCTTAAATTAATGGCTGCAGCGATCCCTCGCCCCGCGATTCAATGCCTTTCCCTTTCCTCTCGGTACTTTCCCCTTCCATTGTAAATATTTTATCTTTCATGTAATTGGATTAAAATGTGCATTTGTTATTGGTTAAGTTTGTGTTTATAATTTTAGAGCATTTGAATAAGTCTATTTTATATTACGTTTAAGTATAAGTAGCCGTAAGATTTATAAATAAAGAATTCCATCCTTCCACCTTCTACGGAGTTTTACTACCCGATGATAAACAAGCCTACGATACCCGATTATAGTTGCCAAATATTCTAGAATAATAAATAAATACCCAGACATGGTAGCATTTTTAAATTTTCTTCTAATATGTTATCTTGATGCAGTCTATATTCTATACAGCGTGTTTGGTAATACCTGTATAATCCGGAATATGGCACATACGGTATGATGAATAGAACCTAGAAAAATTATCACTTAGTCTGAAACCCAGCACATGACCTAGATATTTAGCTTTTTTTTGTTTGACGTAAAACTGTACGCTGACTTCGTGAATCGGTTACATTCAACTGATTCATTCCATAGTGTGCCACAGAAAGGCCGGCCTAACACCTACTCCACCGAGACAGAGGATATGATTTTACGTCGAGAGCAACACGGTCTTTGTCGAGTCGAATGGAGATGTGTGTTTTACGCGGTGGCCAGTATATCGAGACCCTGGACTAATAAAGTGGAGGTGAAGTGTAGGTAATATTGACAAGTGAGAGCTAAAAGAGTGATTAGAACGCTGCCTCTGGGTATGTACCTGTTTAATCTTAAATTGTTTTAACTACGAATAAACTCATACGCAGTCGAGTGCGCGCGTCGGCGACATAAAAGTGTATTCTAGGAAACGAGAGTGAGAGGTAATGAGAGAGAGAGAGAGAGAGCGAGTACGCCGGGACGGCACGTGTAAGCTTTCAGGGTTGTATGTAGCATATTAATTGAAAACAAATTGTTCAAATATTTGTATGAAAAATTCAATTAACGTGAAATTGTTTTTTGACATATTAATTGTGTTCTTTGTGCTAGGTTGTATGGCCATGTTTCGGGATTATACATGTATTTCCAAACATCCTGTATATTTAAGTGCCTCCTCAATTACTTCAAAAAATATTTTTAGAGCATGTTCAACAGGGTAGGGTATATTTTCTTTTTTATGATCATAAATTCTCTGAAACTTATACATCTATTGGGGTTCCACGGGTCAGAAACGGGTTCATCGACCTCTTTACAAGGGACATTTGTTTTCAAATAACATTTGTATTTTAATAGCAATCCTGACAAAGTTTACGATAGTGATCTTACCAAACAAGTTATTTAATGATAAATCCAACTTTCTACAGGTAAGTAAATTTATTTTTTTGGCGACAGTTCATACAGTGACATTTGTGATACCTACTTAATTATCGCTATCAATGTCGACACTGCATACCTTGTATCCTATAGTATCCTTACAATTAAAAGAGTCAAGAGAAGAATGAGGAAGTATTTAAAAAATAGTTCTTGAAAACACACTAGATGTCACTCGCAATGTTTGGATTTTGTTTATGATATTCATTCAAAATTTGTTTCTGACGTAATAAAAGTAATTTGAGTTTCGAAAATTAATAAATATAACAACTTTTTGTGTTTGTTATAATATCTAACTTTCAAATTAATTTTAATTAATTTTAATCGTAAGATTCATTTGTTTATTCATTCATTTGTTACGTGAAAAGGAACGATGTTTGATTGATACATCGACATTAGTGATGAGCCAACTTGTTGGTTGCTCGTAACTTTCATCCGAGTTTGGAATGAAGAACAAAAAGCGGAGCGCAGAATTCAGCTTGTATTTGTATGTGTCATTATGCATCCACAAAACGAATGATATTAATAAAAATATCAATATCAAAATCACAAAGACACGTACAGTTCGTTTAGAACAGACGTTTCTTGTTGATTGCTGAATGTGTATTAAGATTATTTAATTATGAATAAAAGATTTAATAATTGATCACAGTTTTTAAAGTCTTTATTTCGAAAGCACAAGTTATTTGCGCGTTACACTTTGCACAAACGTCATTTTAGCCAGAAGTCATGTTATTTTTTTACGAATACCTAGAATATTTGATAGCCATTTTTAATTATATCACATCATTAATTCTATTGATTTCCAAAAAAAAACTAAATTAAAAAAAAACCTCTGTGCTCACTTCCATTATGTTAATTTCCATTTAACTATATAGAAATAAAAATGAAATTTATTAAAAGATTACTTTCTATTAATCGTGTTGCGTTTGCATAACTCGAACTAATGCATTTCCAATTCGATATTAATTCGAGGTATCAGATCCGTAACATCACTGACAATTCTATTCTCTTTGGTTTAACGTCATGAATTGACGTTTAGATCTAACAATTTGTGCTGCCATCTAGTGACATAAGTTTTTGTAGTTTATTTATTTTTTTAAAAACTTCCTCGTGTAAAAAATCTTCTGATAAATCTTCTGATAAGTGATTTAAATGAACACTTAAAAGTATGGCAATCTGAATCATAATTTCTGCTGACCTGCTTGAAAAATAATCTATACGGTCATATCTTTAATGATTACCACATCTTTTGATAAGTTTCAATAATTATGACTTTTTTAATGTTGAGAAACTTGTATCATCATTAAATAATTCAATCATAACAAAAAATAGTAACAATTGAATTTTTTATGATGATACAACAGTTTCTTTGCCAATATAATATTATTATGTAATTTTTCTTAATTTTTGTAAACACTGTTGTGTGCGATACTCGATGTTAGATAGATCATTTGTTTTCTTCGGTTCACTGTGTTACTTCTTGTATTATTATTCTTACTTTTCAACATAAGAGAAAATTTATTTTTACACACTTTTGTAACATTAATTTGTTTATTTATAATTAGGGTCATATGTAGCCCTAAAGACTACTTATTTAATATTCGTGGCTATAGACCAAAATGCATATATATATATATATTAGAGAATAAATTCAAGAAGACCGCCAAAACGGTAAAACCTATTAAATCAAAATTTTTGATACGCAAAGGAATTTGTGTTCATTCTGCATTGAACACTATTTGCTGTTACTGTCTTCTGCAATGGGTTTCCTTCAATGACTCGTTAAATATAGCAGCTCCATTTCGAGTCGAATAAATTGACAAACAACCATCTCTGCTATATTTTTTAATGTAGCACTCCCTTCCGTTCCATCAGTATACAAAAGAAAATAAATATTAGTACTTATTTTTTGTTTTAGTATTGTAGACAAAGGAAAATTGTTTTTACCAATGAAAAACACAGCTTACAGATGTACTCAGTATCACTCGCAACAGATATTTGTTTGATTATGGTTTTTTATCATACACCAGTTGTAGCATCTTTATATAGGCTACATCTTTTTGTTTATTATAATAGAGTCCTGCCTCCATGCTACTTTATCAAATATTACAGCGCAATATTTTTTGTTTGTTCTCAAATACCAACGTAATAGCTAAATTAAATAGTGGATAAATATAATATGGCTGAATGGGCAAAATCCATAATTATTTGATAAAAGATGTAAGAATTGTAAAAGATTTAAAATAGGGCTTCTAAGGCACAGTCGACCGCCAACCCTTTTCCATTTGTTCTAAATACATTAAAAAAAATTGTGGATCAACACCCCATATCTAATTTGGACATCATAAGCAAGCTATCAAAGATATTCAGAGAAATATGATTTTTGAAATATGTAATATGTTTTGAGGTTAAATATTATGGGCAATTTTTGGGTAAACGTTATTTGAAGTCTCTTGAAGTCTCAGTCTCAACGTCAATGAGAAAGTATTTAAAAAAAAATATTGTTCCCGAAATCAAATTAGATGTCTCTCCGGTATTTTCTCGATTACTCCATGACAACCATAAAGTTCGGTTTTCTTTCAGGTAAAAAAGTAAATTAATTTTCAAAATGTAATAAAAAACTCATATTCTATTAAAAGGTACGGAAATGACTATCTTTTGTCCATTTTTTCCTGCAAAAATCAACTTTTGCTAGAGTCGCTATCTAGTGAGATGATTTGCCTCATTCAATCAGGAAGTATTTAAAAAAAAAGAAAGCACTAAAAAGCATCTCACTAGATAGCGACTCTCGAAAGTAGGCGAAAGGAATTCGTTTCACATAACTTTCCGAGGACTGAGACTTGCTGGATAAATCATAGAACAGCCAATAACGAAGAAATTGAATGGAAGTATTTAAAAAGAAAACATTAGTTCCCGACATCAAACTAGATGTTGCTACGATACATTCTTGATTTCTTTATGCCAATCTTTCGGGATTTCTTTCAAATTTAAAAGTAAATTAGTTTTCAAAACTCAATAAACAACTCATATTCTATTTGTACTTTTTCGTATTTGTATTGATATCTAAGTTTCAAACATGACTGTCTTTGGTCTGTGGTTTCCTGCAAAATCAACTTTTGGTAGAGTCGCCATCTAGTGGAGGTGCTTTTTTAGTGCTTTCGTTTTTTTTAAATACTCTTGTCATCAACTAGTGAGGCGCTTTTTAGAGCTTTCTTTTTTCTTAAAATACTTCCTCAATAATGTCAATTGGGTATTTGACACTTTTCTGAAAACTATTTTAAATCGTTGTTTGTTACATTATAAACACACTGTCATAATATTTCATTGGAATCTTTTCTAGTTTTAGTGAAAATAATTGTTAAAATTTAAATAGCCAAAAGCGCGCGAAAAACACTGCTCTATGTAATGGCGCAGATCGTGACGTCACAGGCCAGTAAATATGTCAAAACGATAAGTAACAACTGTCTTTAGAGTAAATTGAAATAATAATTTAGAAGAGAAATTGAAGTCGAAGTGCGTATTTTTTACGTTTTTTATTTTTCTCTGCTCTGGTTTTCTTTAAAAAACAAGCCACAAGTGGTGCGTAGTGCCACAAAAACTTCGAGTCTAGAAGAACATAGATTCACAATCACAATAGTATAGTAGCTATATAGAGTAGAGATGGGTGATAAAATTAGGTAAGGATTCGCTAAAAGTATTGAGACTCTTTTATTTCATATCGATACATTTAAAGGTTTTCTTTTTGGGTTTTTTCTTTGTCATAAACATTTTACGACTACTTTATATTTGTTGACAGGGCTCGCACTTTACAGCCTGTCGACCTACAGATGGATGAGACATTAGTACGATAAAGAATGTTCTATTTTTTTATACATACATGTAGTATGTCTGTCCACTAAATGCATGGCATTTGATAAGTAGATATCAGATCCCGATGATTTTTTTAAATTAGTTTTTAACTTGGAGAACAGTATATATCATCAAAATCGACTTTGTAATTTTGAATTATTATATTAAAGTTCAAGAAATCAGAAAAACTTTTATGAAATTGCTGGCATTTTCCCTATTTCTTGAGCTAAGTAAATGATTCTTTCTTTCTGTATTTCTTTTTGGCAGTTCTTATCAGTAGAAGCGGCAAAATATTCTGTTATCAGTAAATAACTAAAAAGTACTCGATACCTACAGGCATCGATATTTTATGTATCTTTCTAACACTACTTTGACATAACAGCTGATGACGTCACAGGCCAGTAAACAGAATCGTGATTGGTTGTGAAGACGACCAATGATAGGACGTTTTCGTCATTGAATAAATTCCTAAAAATATTGCATTTTCTTTACGTTATTTTACGAAATCTAAACATGTTTTTTCTGCAGATGTTAAGAAATAAGCTTTATTAGAATACTAGCTTTCGCCAGCGGCTTCGCCCGCGTGGACCCTAGGGAAATGTTTTTGCTAAGTCAGCTAACGCCCGATCTGTATACCAAATTTCATCAAAATCCGTTCAGTAGTTTCGGCGTGATTGACGTACAAACATCCAAACATCTAATCATCCAAACAAAGAAACTTTCATATTTATAATATTAATAGGATTATCTATCAGGATGACCACAAAATGCAACTTATTTTCGATAGTGTCGAATACCCTATTGCAGTGTGCGAGCCAGTGAGACCATAGTCATTAAAAACACCCCAATAACTTAACGTTACGACGTTATAGCGTTAACGATAACGCTATGTTATGTAGTAAGATACTGTACAATGCGTTTGTCCATCTCAGCCTAGATATTCTAAAATCTTTAAGAGTAGGTAATTATTATTGGAGGCCATACATTAGAGAGACTATTTAATTAATTTTTAAGAAAAGTTTGAAAACTTCCACTATGTAAACTAAAATTTTAATATATACAAAGTTTGAAATCTTTGGATATGAGTTTTGCTTTATTCGACGTAACCCTTTTATAGTGTAATACATATCATCGCTCTTAAAATGAGTCGAACAAAGTTCATTTCGACTATTACGAATGACTGAAATCCACTTCTCTTTCACATTTTGATGTCGGTTTGGAAATGAAAAAATGTATGCAAACCCGTTTAGTAAAAATAAAGAAGTAAAAAATTAAACCCGTTTTTTATTTTTTACTTCCTTGTAAAAAATAAAAAAAGAGTTTAATTGTGATCTGGATAAATAATTGTGATCTGGATCTCTATGTAGAATTTTGAATGCAAAATTTATTAAATATCATTTCCAAACAACAAGAAACAAATACATAACGTAATTTGTGTTTTGTTAGAAATAACGCGTTATAAAATTAAAGTTACCTGATTTCGGGGTAAATAATAACGTTTAACGATGGTAATATTTGGCTGAGGTTTTGTGTTCCAAGCAATTACTTAAATTTAATTTTTAAATTACTGAAAATGTAAGTTTTCTCCAATACTTATGTGTGAAATGTGATTCCATCCTGCTTTTTATTTTTTGAGGATTGGTTTTTACAACCTTTTATTACACAATTCGGCAGTAAGTAAGAAATTTTTCAAGTCAACAATTGTGTTACTTAGCAACTACAAATCCCTTGTTTGGTTGCCTTAGGCTACATCACTATTTACGTTTTAGTTTATAGGGTTTACCGTTCGATGGCACTGGTAAAATTGTCAGCTGTCACTTGTATGTACATGTCTATGTGTATGTGTATGTAATGTCCCACTGGCCTGGCCACTCTGGGCATAAATATTGATGATAGAAACGAAAGGAGCTGATATTGACTTATTGATCACAAAATATAACTATGTTCACCTCACGACATTTATTTAGTAAATTTAAAATGTTAAACAAGAAATTTGAACGCCTGAAATGTTCAAGTCAAATTATATCTATATTAGAAAAACCAAATATTAACGATGTGACCGAGGTTAAGGTTAGTAAAATGCAAATAGTATTAACCATTGTATAAGCATTTGTAATTCAGGAGATCATATAAACGTGTATTACAGGGTTGGGTGAAAAATTTGAGAATACAAAAGGAGCTTATATTTGCAGATGTTAGTGACGGCTCGTGTAATAAAAAGTTGCAAGTTGTAATTCCTAAAAACCTGAGCACCGATACATTAAGTTATGGCAGTTCCATATATGTCACTGGGCAGCTGTCGAAAAGTCCGAGAGGTCAGCTGGAACTTGTCGCAGATACCTTGAAAGTTATAGGACGCTGCGTGGTCGCGGAAGGATATCCATTTAACCCAAGAACTACACATACTTCTGATTACATTCGTCAATATTTGCATTTGCGCTCTAGAACTAATTATATGTCAGCCATACTAAGAATAAGAAATGCTGTTACAATGCTCATTTATGATTTTTTCCATTCAAGAAATTTTATAAACATTCATACACCCATACTGACTTCAAATGATTGCGAAGGAGCTGGGGAAGTATTCAAAGTGCAACCGGATTGTGAAACAACTGTAAAAGCTATGATGAAAGAAGGTAGAGACAATGATGCTGTGTATTTTGGTTCAAAAACTTTTTTAACAGTTTCTGGGCAGTTGCATCTTGAAGCTATTTGTAGAGGCATGGGTAATGTATACACTCTTGGACCAACATTTCGAGCAGAAAATTCTAGATCACGGTTGCATTTATCTGAATTTTATATGCTAGAAGCAGAATTAGCATTTTGTGATAAATTGGAGCAGTTACAAATAGTTGTAGAAAAGTTGTTAAAACATATTTTTACTAAAATAAGAGATACCAATGAAGCAGATTTGTATTTAATAGATAAAGAAAATAATAAGTTGCCGTCTTGGATTGATAAAAGTTTTATTATAATTACATATGAAGAAGCAAAGAATCTTTTGAATAAAAAGGACTTGACCGTAACAAAAGAAGGAATAAATAAGGAACAAGAATTAGCACTAATAGAATACTGTGGTGGAGTGCCTGTGTTTGTAGTCGAGTGGCCCAAAGAAATGAAATCATTTTATATGAGAGAGTGTCAGGATGACAATACAAAGGTATGTATTATTTTATTAAACAATAAGCTAATGAGCCTTCTGCGATCTTGATTCTTGGGTAGGAATGGGGTGGGTTGTAAGAATTTGAAAAAAACTTCAAATAAATTTTATATTTTGGTTCATTAGTCAAAATGGTTAAAAAAACTTTAGGTGTATAGATATAGTTTTCAAAGCACTAGTATTTAATCAAGTTTGCATGGTGCTAAATATTAATTGCTTAGATACCAAGAAAAGTTGTTAAAGCCTCAGGTCAAAATTGGGCTGACTAAAATGATACTCTACCCATAGTATGTATATTGAAATAATACACAAATAACTAAGTCTACATAAAGTAAGTAAAAATAGAATATAAAAATTATATAAAAATAAATAGTGAGTGAGCACATGCTCAAAAGCTTCAGGGTCTACAAAATCTTTTCATAGTGGTTCCCCATAAGACAGCATCATAAGGAGCAAATTCTCACTTTCCTGTTTAAAATCCTATATGACTCTCATAATCCATCTTATCTAAGGGAATGTACTATTTTCTGAGCGCATGTCATGCTAGGCCTTCCCCATACTAGATCAGGATACTACTATGAGTCCTTTACCATTAAAGCTGCTGGTCGCTGGAATAAGCTGCCACTGTTGCCATAATGAAATCTAAATTGCATAGGCATCATTTTGATAGCATGTCTTAGCTTCTAACATAATATATGTACTTATAAAAAAAATGCAAATCATATATTATAAAATTATTATATTATAACCTTTACATTATAATTTTATTTAAATTATATTATTTTTGGCTTTCTTGTCTACTATTGGCACACTACCTGACAGGTTGTCTGGATGAGATCGCTTTTAGAGACAAGACTTCTTTTGAGACTGTGTTAGCAATAAAGTGTCTATCTATAACTATGATGTAATACAGTTATCAGCATCAAACTATTAATGTCCCACTGGTGGGGTACAGGCCTTTTTTTTTCGCTGTGAAATGCGTTACGCATACCGCTTTACCCTGCGCGAGCTTCACGGGTTATGTGGGGCTCTCCCCTGCGGGCCAACACCCAGAATGGTGGCTAGTCAAAAAGCAGAGACGATGGAATCATATAGGTAGAGGTGGGTGTGGAGTTGTAGGTGTCAATGACTGCAGATGCAGCCAGTACCAACGGCTTAATGTGCCTTCCATACTCCAGGGACACATACTTGATAGAGCTAGATAGCTCATAAACTGTTGGCTGGACCAACTTTTCAAATATAAAAGGTCAATAAAGACACCCAAGTGCCGACAAATGAATCTCCCTTAGGTATGGGTTAAACAACTAAACATGCTTACCTTAACATGGAGAAACTGAAGATAAATATTTGGTCACCCATCCTATGACCGGCTAACCACCATTGCGCCGTCGAACTTTATTATAGGTACTTTTACATTTCACAGGTTGATGCATTTGATCTTCTAACACCAATCACTGGGGAAGTCGTCGGCGGTAGCCTAAGAGAGGATAATTACAATAAATTGAAGGCAAAATTACCTTCAGAACAGCTGAATTGGTATGTTGAACTGAGAAAGTTTGGCAACATACCAACTGGTGGATTCGGCCTCGGTTTAGAGAGATTGTTACAAGTTTTGTGTAAAATCAGTAATATAAAAGACACCATACCTTTCCCCAGGTGGCCGCACAACTGTAATATGTGAGAAAGAGATCTTTTTTAAGAAAGCGTTAGTTGCTAGTTTTACTACTAGTATCTTTTCTAATACATGAGCTATCTATAAATTCATTGTTAAAATTTCGTCTACAGATGATAATTATTTATACAGTTATATATTATTTTACAGTTATTATGTTGATATAAGACAAATATAACATAAATTTTGACCATAACTTTATTGGTCATAGGATTAAGTGATTGTTTCATTTGTGCATGTTTAATTTTTCCGTCATTCCAAATATCTAAATAAATAAACATTAGAAAACATCACATACATTGCTCAGATTCTAAGATGTGTAGCTAAAGCCCACTCGCATGATGGAGTATCTGAGACAACGAAGGTCAAGTTTATAATTAAAATGCACTGGTAATTTAAAATACTTATATTTATTTATTAAACTTTTGAGTAAATGAAACAAAATTGCATTGAAACAAATATCACACTTGGAAACACAAATAAATAAAATGTCACTGGACTTATTAGAAACCATGTCTTAAAAAAGCCTTAATAAAAACAAGTAAGCATTCAACTTCTTAATTAATACAAAACGTTGCCTATATTTATATTAAATCTGATAAGATCCTATTAATTACTTTTGGTCATTTTAGATCAGACTTCACGAGTTTCTCATCATATAAAAGTAGTTTAATAGGTTGGGGAAAAAGTTCCTTCGCATTTTATATGAATATTCATAACATTTTTTACTAAATTTTATTACATTTAACTGATCCCGTCGCTATAGAAATTTTGGGACTTCTCATTAAAAAACCGCAACAAGTGGTTTTGGCAGTTGTTACGTGGCGAAAGCAAACTAGTCCTTGTTAAAAATGAAATTTAATATACACAACATTATAATAGAAACATGCAGTGTGAAGATCATAGTTATAATAACTTACAACTAAAGAAACAAGAGTATTTAAGGACTTGACCCTCAAGTCTCTATTGTCGGGGATACGATTACAAAGTATCTGGAATACAAGATACAAAATACTTTTAAATTAAGTATTTCAGATACCAGATACGAAATACTTTCGAGAAAAGTATTTGAAATACTAGATACAAAATAGGTATCTTATAGATACTTTTTATAAATACAAATACTTTTCTAAAAAAAGATTTGAATTTAAGTTTGTTTATTAAAGACCACAAAAACCTAAATCTTAGACCAGATGGTTCCAGGGACAAAGTGGATTTTTTAAGCATTTTTCATTAGAAACAATTTTTGTAAGCTTTTATTTAGTTTTCTGTGTTTGTACTCAAATCTTACAAGCTAAATTTCACCCACTTTTCCTCCGTTTTATTTGTTTGTCAATCACAATGTAACATATAAAAATGCAAATATTTAATACATCAGGTTTAAATTATTTTAAATTTTTTAGTTCCTTTTTAATAATATTTTTTTTCAATATAGCATTGTGAATGAAAAATTGCTGAAATATAACAACAAGAATAATTATTTAAATTTAATTATAAAATTATTATTTATTTAAAAAGCTGGTTTTACGTACGACGTAAAATTACGGAGAACTGAAAATTCATTTTTTCCTAGTGAGATGAAGAGAGTGGGTAAAAATAAATACAGTACTTGGTTTTTAAAATTAATGGCGTGACTTGTGACGAGGTGAATGTGCGATAGTATGTAACGGAACGTATATTAACTTTTTTTGCAGAACTACCGAAAATTATGCCCCTTTAGTGTGTTAAGCTAATTTGAAAATTTTTAGTAGAAAATACTTAGCTTCTGTGGTTGATTATAGTACGTTGGTTTGTAGGAAAGGCTTATAATACGTAGATGTACCTAAAAAGACGTAGAGTTGGTATTGCTGGTACTGTTGGTAATGCGCCATTAGTTACCATCTGATCGGATAAATCCGGTCTCAACCGGATTTGAAGTATTAATTAAGTCTTTATCTATGAAATTTCCGTTTTTAATAAAATAAATGAAGCTTTATTTTCTTATTTCTATTAATCAAAGTAATCACCCATGCAATCAATACATCTTTGCCAACGCATTGGTAGCTTAATGATGCCTTCTTGAAGAAATCAGCTGGACGGGAGGCAACAAATACTTCAAAGGCATTTTGTACTGCCTCTCGGGAATTTATTTTTTTCCCGCTAAGACGTTATCCAAATTCTGGAAGAATTAGAAGTCTGTAGGCGCATGGTCTGTTAAGTACGGCGGATGACGGAGAACTTCAAACCCCAGCTCTTGTAGCTTGGGTACCGCCAATTGTGTAGTATGAGGTCGTACGTGGTCGTGCAGGAGCAGTGGAACCGAACGATTGACAAAACCTGGTTGGAGTTGTGCCAGCTTCTCCGTCATTGTGTTCAGTTCTTCACAATACACACAGTAAATCTGCAGTAATGCTCGTCCTGTTTGGTAAGAAGCTGTGATGAAATACATCCGCGTTAGACCACCAAACAGCAACCTTTTCGTAAACCAATAACGGGTGGTGCGTTCGTTTGTAGTGTTCGCTCTGCAAACGTTGTAATGTTGCGTGCCGCTATGCTGCCACGATGGCACACATACTCCATAATTACTCGAATTTTTAACTTATCCATGACGACGAAAAATATTCAAATGCATTGAAAACAAAACACTTACTATTGAACAAATGACGATTTTAGAAAAAATAATTTGATATTAGAATTATCAGCCAAAAAAAAATAGTTTGATTTTAAATGGCTAGTACAGCAGAACGGCAATTACATAGGTAAAGACCTAATATTAAGACAGGACTCCGCCCATTTTTTTGTTGTTTCTCAATAAAGATCCCTTGAATTAAATGGTTACTTATTAAAGCAAAATCTACTATACGATTACATCACAGATTGTGTTGTATTTTTGAAAAATAAAGGAGTATTAATTGACGATGTCAAAGAAATTATTTGAAGAATTTTTTCTATTAACAAATTTATTTTTATGACGAATTAGTTGAAAAGCAGTGGGTAATTATTTTCAATATATGCAATGACAGCACTCGTTTCCGAACTACTGAAGATTTGTCAGTATTTTTTTGTATTATGCCTCATAATGCGAATATTGATTTTTTTTCGCTCATGAATATGCAGTGGTCAAAAGATAGAAAAAGATTAACTGTTGAGTCAATAAAAGCAATATTGCTTTGCTCACGGGATATAATTTCAAGCATTTGCCATGTATCGAATTTCACAGTGAAATTTCTTTAAAAATAAACTTTTTGAATGCTGTTGTTAGTGGAAAAAGTATAATGTGCAAAAAAAATAATAAAATTTAATAATGAGTTTAATCGATATACTGAGTTTTATTTATAGCATATAACCGGGTTTTTACATAAATCAAGATTTTTTATTGCTTGTAACTGGTTATTCGATTTCAAGCCCTATGCGCCATCTATCAATTTTTACTAGGGAGGGTGTATTACACCGGTATAACCGTTACGTTCAGTTCTACGCATTTACTTTTTAAATGACACCAAACAATGTTTGGATTCGAGTTATTTTTAACTAAATATTCATTGCTTTGATAATTTAACACTTTCTTTTTGTAAATATGTATGTTTTAGGCAAAGAATGTTTTGTGATATTTATAAAATATAAGAAATAATCTTTTTACAAAGTATTTTATCAGAAAAAGTATTTAAAAGATACTAAGATACTAAACAAAAGTATTTAAATACAAGATACAAAATACTTCCTAAAAAAAGTATTTTAGATACAAGATGAAAATACGTATTTTGTATCTTGTATCTGTATTTCAAATACTTGTATCTAAGATAAGCAAATCAAATCAAATCCATTTTATTTGGCACAATATAAAATAATAAACATTTATCAAGCGATGCGTGTCCCACAGTTGTACCAAAAAGGTGTCTAGCTCAGCATATGCCGATCTCTTTTACTTCTTAAAAGTAAAAAGAGACCGACGCTGATTTTCAGCTAGACCCCGTTTGAATCTGTCACACGGATACAAGGACGGTCATGTACAATCTATATTGATATATATACATATAAATACACACATAACTATAATTTTCATAAATAAGATAAGGAGACAAATATTTTAAGCAAGTCACTACATAAACTAATATACACGTGAGATGGCGCCATAATGTCGCACCGAGCATCACTGTCTCGCCGCGACGAATGCATCTGTTGCGGCGAGCAGCGGTGCAGCCCGCAACGAGCGGCACGCGATGTCGGACGTGCGCACGTCATTCGAAACCCCACATAATGAGGCCACCGAAAATCACGAGTTAGCTGTTAAATAACTAAGTGCACAAAGCAGACGATAGTAATAAAAATTGGTAAGTCCCAACTTTGTCACTTTCTGTAAAATTTTAATACATTTCATGTTCATCCAACGAATATAATTTGCTACAGGGTCAAACTGAAAGTTCTTAGAACTGGCCACTTGTAAACAATATAATAAAAAAATAATTCTAGAATTTGAAAATATAACTCTTTGCCAATATTACTGAGTATATATTTCATTCATTTGTCATTTGTTTTACGATTTGGCGGCAAATTGAAAATTGTCTGTGTCACGTCATCATAAATTTAACACGAGAAAATTTTCGTGCAATGATTTTTTATGACTTTCGATGTCATTTAAGTCAACAAGAAAGTTATGATAGACTACGATTGGCCTTTCACGATGAAGCCCCATCTCGTGCGACTGTTTACAACTGGTTTAATGAGTTTAAACGTGGTCGCACTAATCTCACTGATGATTTACGTGAGGGACGGCCTTCTACGGCGACGACTGAAGATAACGTCTGTGTTGTGCGGCGTATGATAGAGACTGACAAAAGAGTGACCTATCAACAGATTCGGACAAGCTTAGGCATCGGTATGAGTCAAGTGCACAAAATCCTCCACGAACATTTAGCGGTCAGGAAGCTTTGCGCCCGGTGGATACCTCATAATTTGACTGAGGCTCAAAAACTCCATCGTGTGGATTGGTGTCGTAAAATGATTGAAAGATTTAACGGAGGTGACTCAAATGCTGTGTTCGACATACTAACAGGTGACGAAAGCTGGATTTACTGTTATGATCCTAAAACCAAAAGACAATCTGCTCAGTGGGTGTTTCCTTGCGAGGAGTTGCCAACTAAAGTGAAGAGAGATCGAAGTGCGGGAAAAAAAATGGTGGCCTCGTTCTTTGGAAGGATAGGTCATTTTGCAACAATTGTGTTAGAGGATCAAAAAACAGTTTCTGCAGAATGGTACACTACCAATTGTTTGCCACTTGTCTTGGAAAAAGTTCGAGAGAAACGACCTCGCAGTAGGATCCTCCTTCACCACGACAACGCCTCGTCGCACACCGCCAAGCGAACGATCGACTATTTGGCGACATCAAACGTTGAATTACTGGGTCACCCGCCGTATAGCCCCGACCTCGCGCCTTGTGATTTTTATTTATTTCCAAAAATTAAAGAAAAACTTAAAGGAAAGCGGTTTATGAATGCTGAAGAAGCGGTGGCTGCGTATCGCGATGCCATTGAAGAGACCCCTAAGGACGAGTGGGCAAAGTGCTTTTCCCAGTGGTTCCATCGCATGCAGCGGTGTATTGACGTGAATGGACAATATTTTGAAAAGATATAATAAAACTAATAACTGGCTAATGTAATCAGTTTTTGATTTTCTAAGAACTTTCAGTTTGACCCTCACCGGTATGGACCTATGACGTGACGTCACCTCGGACGCTCCGCCCGCGCGTAGGCCACACTCAATAGGTACAACAATTGATGCTTTTAATTGACAATTAATTAAGTAATATCCACACGTATACATATGCATATATAATGATTTTCAGAACTATTGCGGAACAAATGATACTTTATACATATACATAATATATATTATTAGAAGTCGGATTAGGTAGTGAATCAATCCCAATTGCCTTACAATAAATAACATGCGAATAGTTAATCAAAAAATATTACAAATCATAAACCACATAGATCTAGCAACTAAGCATTCAATTCTGTTGTATATTGAATATAGTATAAATGTATTTAACATTGAAGATTACTTCACAGACCAATCAAAATAATAATTAACTAATTTCATTGTTTAAATAAAAACATTTAATTTAATTATGACATAAGAAATTAATAAAAATTATTAATATTACTATAATTTACTAATACTATTATTCAAGCTTGTGGTTAGATATTAAATTAAAATATGTATAAAAAAAGAAAAATGCGTAAGATAATGAGTACCTAATAATAAACCATGCTCCTCAGGCCACCACTTATGTCATGTAGCAGACTTGGTGACAGTGTCGCGGAACCGCTGCAGGCTTCCACGGATCAAACACCACCAGGATTAAGTACCCAATTAATTATTTGAATATTTTTATTATATAAGCAGATAATTTTAACATGACTTTTAATTCATTATTAGATTAGTTTATTCTATGCAATTGTGATATATTAATGACGCTCGTCACGGACTATATGTGTGATATATCTATGTCCACACTACCCAGCTCCCGCTGCGCATCGACCAGATATTGGCGTAAGTGTCTTTTGAAACTGTAAATGGATTTGCAACTTCGAATTGGAGGAGGAATATTGTTCCATATCTTAGTCGCTGCGTAACGGAAGCTGCCACGAAATGATGCGGAGCTATACGTCTGTGTAGAAAGTTGCTGAGAGCACTGCCTTCTATCACCCTCTCTCTTTATGCCTAACCAATTTAGTTTTTCGTACAGATATTTTGGCTCTTGGGTTTTAATGACGCCGAAAAGCAAAGACGCAAGGTGGAGTTTTCGTCTTGATTTCATTTTGAGTATGTTATTTTTAATTAAGAAAGGAGTAACATGGCTGCGATAGGGAATAACGAAACAAAAACGTGCACAAGCATTTTGTACCCTCTGTATAAGTTTTTCAGTGCGAGAAAGTAGACGAGGGCCGAATACAATGTCGCCATAATTCAATTTGGAGAGAATCATTGCCTCTACCAATTGTATCCGCAATTCCATTGATATATAAGGCCTAATCTTGTAAAGCAGTTTTAATCGATAAAAACAGTTTTTCACTGCTTCGGCCACGTGCTTTTCGTATCTTAGGTTTTCATCAATTATCAAGCCAAGATTGCGTGCATGCACCACTCTCTCAATAGGTTCTCCCAACAATTCAACGCCCAGGTCTTTTGGCAATAACCTTTTCTTTAGGTCAGATCCCAGTACCATATATTTGCTTTTAGAGGGGTTGAGTACTAAGCAATTTTTCCTTGACCACTCTGACACCCTGTTCAATTCCTCATTAAGTTCTTTTACTGCCTTTAAGTAATCTTTTGGAGGAAAAGAAATATAGACCTGTATATCGTCTGCAAATATGTGATACCTACAATTTTTGAAACACTTAGTAATGTCCGCACAGTATAAAATGAATAAGATTGGTCCCAGTATTGAGCCCTGAGGCACACCTCTCATCACATGTTGAAGTGTTGATGTACGAGTATTGCCATTGCTTGTGGATACCTTAACAAATTGCTTTCTATTTGTTAGATAACTTTGAAACCAAAGCAGTGTACTGTGACTAAATCCATAGTATTCCATCTTAGCTATCAACAAATCCGTATTTATTGCCTCGAATGCACGGGAAAAATCGAGTAAAGTTAATAAGGTGCACATTCCCCTGTCCTGATTAGTCAAAATATTGTCCGTCACGTCAACCAATGCTGTCGTGGTACTACGGCCTCTCCTAAAGCCCGATTGCAGAGTCGGTAAAATACTGTTTGCCTCTAGATACTCAGTTAGTTGCACACAAACTACTCTTTCGAGAACCTTGGAAAGACACGGTAAGATGCTGATAGGTCGAAGGTCCTTCAGTCCGTCTGGGTTGGAATTTTTCGGCAAAGGTAACACTGTTGCAACTTTCCATAAGTCAGGAAAACTAGAGGACTCGATTGACTTGTTTATTATAGTTGTTATGATATCCAGAGTATAAGGGAGTGTCAGATTAAGCATCTTTAGTGAAATCTCATCATAACCCTCAGCATTTGATTTAATTTTACGAAGAATACGGAAAACGATGTCGCTATTAACTTTAGAGATATTGAATGTCGACTCACTATGGCGATTACTTTCAAAGAATAATTTATAAGAACATATAGTAGCCGAGCTACCAGGAACATTCAAGAAATGTGAATTAATTTGATCAGGGTTATCAAAACCAGGGGGAAGTTCTCTATTATGGTTACAAGGCAACACGGTCTCCTTGAGATTTTTCCACAATTGTTTTGGATCATTTAATTTACTATTTATGTTATGTCGAAAATAAGCTACTTTTTCATGGTACAAAGAAACGTTGACTAGTGTTTTAAATTGCCTATAATATTCCTTATTCTTTTCAGTCTTGTTAGCACGATACCTCTCTAGTGCCGAATCCCGCAAACGCATCATCAATCTTATATTGTCCGTGAGCCAGGGATATGACGACCTTCTTATCCTTATCGTCCTAAAAGGCGCATACACATTAAAAACTGATAAGATTTTTGAATTAAAACTAGTCACCATTTCATTCACCGTCGAAATATTAAACCAAAAAGTCCAATCCAACAAACTTATGTCCTTGTGAAAGTCATCCAAATTGATACTATTTAATGACCTCGAATGTGACATAATGGGTTTTAATTTATCACGTTTAATGTTGAATTCACAGACTATAAGCGAATGACCCAACAGAGCTCGGAATGCTTCCACGAATATCCTTTTCGCAGAGAGGTCTGTACAAATGAGGTCAATCAAGGTCTCACTGGTGTCGGTGAAATGAGTTGGGGACGAGACCAATTGAATAAGACCGAGGCTGGTCAAACATTCAGTTAATTTTTTTGTTTTCACATCTCCCGGGTTCAACATATCGACATTAAAATCTCCTAAAATAATACAGTGGTTTATATCGCCCAAAGTGGTAACTGTGTCAGTTAAAGCGTCTAAAAATGTATCTAAATTGAACCATGGTGGACGATAAGCGGTACCAATTGCAAGTTTTTTACCACTGATTGAGAGAGTTATCCACTTTTGCTCTACCTTATTAAATCTAGGATCATTCGGGTGTGTATAAGCACGTACACTAATACCTCGCTTCACGTAAAAACCTACGCCACCGCCACGTCCTGAGCACACGAAATCAGGTCTCGGAGTGTGGCGCAACTGGTAGCCAGGCACGGTGGGTGCTCGCCCCTCCTCACCAGGCCTCAACCAAGTCTCATTCACCGCCAATATATCGAAATCATGACGATCCATCATTGTAACAAAATCATCATGATTTGTACCAAGTGACCCAACATTAATGAAACCCAACTTTAATATACCTCTTTTGTTAATCATTTCTATTTCTATTTAAAGCCACGAGTAATTCATATATTAGTGTTGAACCCGAGAAACCTGCACAACATATAAGCAAACTCTGTGGTTTATATTCAATAGTAGCAGTAGACGAGAGAGATATCCATAAATGCAATATATAATGTGATTCGACAAAATAAATATGTTTAAGATTTATACAGTGTAGGTATAAATAATACATATAAATAATAAGAAGAGAAATACAACAGACAAGTTGAGAGTAAATTAATAGAAATGCTATGTGATTATAAGTTACTCTGCACGGTGGTTTTAATTCGGCGATATATATAATACGCACAACTGTGAGACTCCCATATAAGTAAACATACAAATAAGAGAAAAATACAATAAAATAAGACAATAATGCAAATATACATGAAATTGTGCAGATCCAAAAGTGGACCCTGAAAAGGCTGTAAACAAGGTTTGTCGACATCAAACTTAGCCTATACAAAAACCTTTGATATATCGCGCTCGTCTCGTATTTGAACAGACTGCTGACCATCACTCTTGCGCGCGAGTATTCTGCCATTCCTAGTCCAAACGTACTTCCACCGGCGCTCGGATCCCGCCTGGCGCGCGAGAAAGAACAGTCGACGGTTAACACGAGTAAGGCGCTCGTTAATGTATATACGTCGTGACGGGCCAGGAATCTCGATGTCGCCAGATGTCAGCACCCGTCGCACTCGGGCAGCACGCAGCCACTGTTCGCGCACAGTTTGACGAGTAAAGCGTACGGCGATAGCACGCGGTCGCTGTTCCCCTGCGTCACCACCGACTACAGCGCCAGAAGCGTCCCCGCCTCCGGAGATTCTGTTGCGCCGCGACGAACCCACACGATCCGCTTTCACAACATCCCTGTCGTCCAGTTCAATACCAAACTTGACCGCTATAGCCCTTACAATACTCATGACGTTCTCTCCACTTTGTTCGGGTATTCCGGTGAGATCAACATCATTGGACAACAGCTCCTGATCTTTATCATTTAGCTGGGCTTTAAGCTCGGCGACAGCGACCTCCAATGTACCCACGGCTGAAGTAGGGATACTCATGTTAGTCTCAAGCGTCACAATCCTATTCTCCATAGATGTAATTTTTTCTTCATATCTATTTATGACTGACTTTAATTCGGCAATATCCGCTCGACACTCTCGAACCTCCGCCCTCAACCCACCGAGTTCGTTCCTGAATGAGCGGATTTCTAAGGCTAAATCCACTCTAAACTCCTCCGTCACGTCGTGGGCCGTGTCGTCCATATGCGGAGGGCTGTCGGACACCGTGTATTCTGCGGAGAGGCCCTTCAAGGGCGTGGAGGTGTTGTCCCCCCTAGGGATTTTTAATTTACACCCCGGACATAACCATAAACTTTTGACAGTTGCCGTCTCGGGAATTGCTACACATGGCTTATGGAATGAGCAGCTACATTTGCCACAGCGCACACTCTCTGCCGCCGAAAGAAATTTGCCGCAGCTACTACACTTAACCATATTGTAAGCTCCAATGGCACAAAGCGCCACCTGTGTTTTATTTGCCGTTCCTGCAAGCAGTTAATGGGCGTGAAGCTTGATCGCTCGATATAGCAGAGCGGACAAATACTATTAGAGTTTGCTAACAAGTTCTAACAGGAATTTATAGATGGCAGTGTTGTCGCACATAATTAAATATTATCTTGCATGGGTTGTGACACCATAGGAACACAGGTAAATAAATTTCCAAATATAGGTCCGCACCAGTATCACCAAAGTCACAAAGTTTTGATGTTTCTGTATTATATGGAGAACAGTTGTATATATTCCATGAAAAGGGTAGTTTAAACCACTGACTGACGACGAACAACTAAGTTTTTGTAAATTTATTATGTTTTCACTCAAGTTACACTTTGTTAACACTATCACTGTAAGTTTATAACTGTATAAAGCGAATTATGATTAAACACTGGTGCAATACTTATTAGTTTAATTTTTGAAAATATTATACTCCGTGTTACGTACAACCGACCCGAGATCCAGATGACATAAAAGTTTTTTTTTTGTCGATATTGGGTCGTTGGTCCATCAGAAAAAAAGTGTAAGATACTTACATTACATTAGGATAAGCACTTTTGACATATTTAAAAATTGGGTCCAGGTGGGCCCATATGGCTTCTGGACTATGTTCATTGTTGGGAGATATTGAACAGAAAGATATTGGCCTTTCATTCGTTACATATAAAACACCTGTATGTAAAGTTATCTGGTCTTTGATGAAATACATAGCTTGGACTTCCTCGTTGTATTTACATGTGAAATTTTCTGAAAAATCTATATGGATTATTGCTTCATTATTTTTTAAGTTTTCTCTGCAATCTTTGTATTTATTATATTGATGATAAAAATTATATACATAAATTTTAAATTTCATCATTTCAGTATTAAATCTATTTACTAGATCTTGTAATGTACCCTGTTTACTTGTTTTCATCATTCTTTTTATTGTTTTTGTCTTATCACCCTGGCCATAACTATGCTCTTTTACAGCCCACTCAAACCATGTAACTTCTATTTCTTCATTATCATCACAATCGTCTAGCTTTCTTTCTGCGCAAATATCGCATTCACTATACATGTATTCTTTAGACTTGAAATCACAAACAAAAACAGAAATAACGGCATTTAAGTTCTCACTCTTCTGGAGTAATCCCCGTGACTTCAATACATCCACCAAAAATTGCATATTTGAGTGCTTCACACAAGCACATGTTTCACAATCTTTTAATTTAGGAGATAAGATGTAAAATGGCCTTTTTTTTTAAAGTACTAAAGCTAATTTTTTCTACCTCTGCCGTGAACTTTTGGTGGAGAATTTTCAGTTTATCGAGCTGGTATCTTACTTAGCGAGTCACTTTTTTGTATGTTCTATACTATATCATTGTAAAAAAAATATTTAAGGTCTTTTTTTCTGCATTGTTTGATATTAGCATTTCTTGTCTCAGTGTTTCGGTTAAGATGTCATGTACTAGTAGTCTTTGTTTAATAAACTCTTTTTTATGTGTTTCAACATCAGGCATATTTTTATTAATAATTTCTTCCACTCTTTTCCTTGGGATCAGAGTTGAGGTCATCTCATTTTCTTGTTGATTAATTTTCTTTGTAAAATTTTCATTCATTTCTTTAATTGTTTTTGTTTGTATATTAACCTTTTTTTGGAGAGTTTTAACCCTTTTTGTCAAATAAAATATTTAATTTTAGTGTTAAATTTATACTCAATCCGACGACGCAAATTCACAAAATCTTCGTTAGTCATTTGTTGCGAAGTTGATTGTTGTTCATTACTTTTTTTTCTATCTTCTTTCCACTTTTGCCTTTGTTTTTCTTTCTGGTCTTCAGACAAATTATTTCTTTTATTTTTATAATATTTCAAAGCATTTTCTGCACATTTTTTTTCATGTCTGTCTGGAAAAACCTTGAGTTTAGGAGTGTCATAACTATGTCTCTGTTCTAAAAAATGTAATAGGAACTTCATTATCGTCAGTGTGTTCTATGATATTTCTATTTAAAACTGGTGGTCGAGAGAGCGCATCTGCATTCGTATTATTTTTTTCGGCTTTGTAAATAAGTTTGTACTCATATTCCTCGAGTTGAAGGCGCCAACGGACTAGGCGGCTTCCCGGATCTTTAATTGAAAAAAGCCATTTGAGAGGTTTGTGATCCGTAACTGTTTTGAATTTTCTTCCAAATAGATACGGTCGGAAGTGTATTTATTTATTTATTTAGTTACATGCTGACTTACAGACTATTACTTATTACTTATAATTAAATGAGAAAAATAGCAATAAAAAGAAAATTAAAAAAAAAAACAATGTCAGTTTAGTTAATTTTAAATTACATTTAAAAGATGTCAATATCATAATAATAACAAAATTATAGAATAGTACGCATGTCATGTATATAGTAGAACATGATTCAGTGGTATTCGGATTCAGTGATAGAACCAAGGGTTTGGGGCTGGTTACCTTGTTACATGCAGTTTGAGTTTGTGGCAGCGTATTATGAGATTTAGTAAGTTTATGAATTGGATGATTGGGTCTCATAATTGGAGGTTGTCTATGTCTTCGGTCCATAGTCGGACTGGAGTTTGTGAGCAAGATATTGTAGCGATTTCCAAGAAGTTGCTCAACTCTTTGGTCGCTCGGGAGTTTAAATTATTAATTTGTGTTGTCGATGCGGGCAGGGCTCGTTGCATTACACAACCTACTCTACCCTACACAACACATAAACATACAGTCACACATACACAGATACACATACACTGGCATACATACACTTCCACACACACATTCATACATCTTACACACACATCTACACGCCGTACTAGTCTAGAGTAGCATAGCGGGTACTTACCTGGGGACTTACCTGCTGTGCTTGCTTGACGACTGGTGCGGCGCCGGGACTTCGGTAGGGCCGTAACCGCGGCGCGACGAGAGGGGATGCGACCCGTCGACTGACTGGACGCCCCTGTCTGCCCTTCGGGGCTGATACAGGGAGTGATGGGGCTGGTCTTCTGTGGCGCATCGACCTACGGGGGGGAGGGTCCACGATTAGGGCTATGCCTGTGTGGGCCCTCCCAACACGATGAGTAGGGGATTGGAGATTGCACAGCTGCGCATCTCTGGTCTCTAGTCAGGGGCAGCTGGCCGGTTCGCGCACCGGTCGGCATTGCACGCTCCTGCCTCGTCGTGGGGGTGCGTCTCGAATGTCTCTGAGGCGTACCCCCAACCCGAGGGGGACCTGCCCTTTTCAGGGCGGGCCGAAATGGGGGTGAACAGCGCGGTGTATGGCCTCCGGGCCGATCCCGCGCATCGCCTACCATGAGAGGGACATCGCTGAGTTTTAGTGGGTAAACTCCTGTTTTTTGTCTAGCCCCTTCGGGGGTGGGGCCGCAGGAGGAGTCCCACATCACCCGTGGAGCCCGCGCAGGGTGAAGCGGGTATGCGTAACGCATTTCTCAGCGTCAAAAAAAGGGCTCGTTGCATTCGATTGTTACGAAGATTATTATTATAAGCGCGTTTACGATAATCGGTAATCACATGATCAACGTTCTGGCAATAGTTGCATATATTTGTGTTTTATTGTATCTATCGATATTTATCTGTCGTGGGACTGTTGATCGGAACAGTAATTGACGGCCATTGTTCATTGCACGGATTTTATTTTCTTGTAAAGCGAAACGTTCTCGCATCGATTAATGTACTAAAGCCTTTAGTTCTGAGCATCGTTCCATTGTCAGAACTCAGCCCATTTACGGAAAACACTAAGTGCTGTTTCTTCAGTAGTCGCTAAGCGACCTGATAATGTATTGTCAGCTATCTCGGCGTTTAATTTTTCTATAATTTTACTTCTGCGTAAATCAACTCTATGGAAATATTCTGTTAAAGTTTCGCTTGGTTTTTGAAAGAGTGATTGTAATTCTAAATTAAGGCGTGATATAGTTTTTACATTTGAAAATCTATCTATAAAAAAGGTTCGCAAATTATCCCAGGAGTCGTGTTGTTTGCTATGGACGTCTGATGCACCGGAACCGGTGATGTTATTCAATACATATACTGAGAATACTGAAATTTGTTCGGCAGAGGCTAAACTAAATGCAGAATCGCATGATCGATAAATTTGTAAACGTGGTAATTATTTTCTGTATCGAATGAAGGAATTAGTTTTAATAGTGTTTATTTATTTATTTATTTATTCTTTATTGCCTAACTAAGGACAAATGGCGGACTTAATGCCATAGAGGCATTCTCTCCCAGTCAACCAGTTAGATTGTACAGAACAGTAGTAGGCGGTAAAGATTAAAAACGGTACATAAAATCGTACATACAATACATATACGCATATATACATAATATTAATATTATATTAAGATTATATTATATTATATTAATATTAATATTATATTAAGGTTATATTAAGATTAATTTTATTTGTTTTTTTGTATGTGGCAGCAAAGAAAGAAGATCGATCACTGTATAATTGATTGGTGGTTTCGTCTTTTAGTTTCCTTGACATTAGACAAATAAAGATAATAAAGATATGGTATACATGATAATAGAAAGAGTCGCATGGATTTAAGATATGACACAGAGAAAAAATAAAAATAAGTATTATAAATGTAAGGAAATAGGAGCTAGGAAACTGAACTAGTTATGCCACTTACCACAATAACTAAAGTAATTGGGTCTGCATGGTTCGGCGAAGTTCGAAAGAGGTGAAAGCCTAAAAGTGCAAGGTCAGGACTTTACGTCGTATGCATTAACACCTCCCAGCCAAACTTTCTTAATTTTAACTGAGTGGAAAAAGATGTGGTGGTAGGCTTAGCGTTATCATAATGAAAAACCACACCCCTTCTATTGATTATTCTGGCTGCTTTCTCTCAATTTCTTGCTTTAATCTCATCATTTAGATAGAATCGATGGTCCTGCCTGGCGGTAACACCACATAATGAATAATGGCCT